TTAATCAATTTTTTATTTAATCTAAAATCAAACTCTATATAATTAACACTATAATCAATATAATACATATCTTTTATTTTACATAATTTTATTAAAAACCTTATTTTTCAAGAATCTTTTTACAGATAAAACAAATTATGAACTGTCTAAAACAAATTTAAAAAATTTAAACAAATCAAATGAAAAAACTAGCAAATCAATCAAACTCTTATGTATCTTGAATGATCATAATACTAGTTATTATTATCCCACTTTGTGCAATCGCATGTAAGAAAAAATGGGTTTCAAAAAGGTATTTGGGCCATGAAAGATTACATGAGTATATCATGAATTAATATAAGCAAATTGCAAAAAATATTCAATAATTATATTAAAGTAAGTAACAACACAATGTTTGCTTAGTGAATATAAATATTTTATGAGAATATATGTAAGAAATAAATTGATATGTATTATGATAAAACAATTCTTATAATACACCTCATGATTTTAATCAATTTTTTCACATACTTTTTTAATGATTTTGGACCAATTACAAAGTTTGATATGATAAAAGATTGATATATAAAACTTATTAATTATATATACACAAACACACATACATATATATATATATATTAAAAAAAATCAATAATGACAAGGTGGATTCATATATCAAAGATAATATTGATTCTTATTAGTTTAATATATATAAATGTGATTATCGACTCATTTAGCCAACTTCAATAATTAAAAAAATATTATCGCGCAACGCGCAATGTCAAAAACTAGTTCATATAAAATCAATTGTTTGTCCGATCGATGCGTTCTTTGTATCGTTAGAAAGGTGTTTGAGTTATCTGCAACTTTGTAGTTAATGAGAAACCTAATTCGAAACATACGTGGCTTGAAATCTTTGATTTTCCAGACCCTATCTGTAGCCACATGAAATTACACTCTGTTTGTATAAATTCTATATAAAATAGACCAAAACTCCAAATTATGTTAATCCAATTGGTATGAAATCCTAAGAGGTATATGTACAACTTTCATTTTTATAAGAAAGTTTGGCTCAGCCTCTAAGTATGAGAAAAAATCTTAAACTTTTGGTGTATAGAACCTGTTAGCTTCTGTTTGGATTGTGAAAATTGGATCTTAGCAAATGTTGTCTATAGTTCTAGGCATTGTGTTATATGTTTACTAAGTGTCATGGTGGTATGTTAAGCATGCTTGAAGGTCCATAAGTTCTATGAAAGGTAATAGCTTGTAGGACCTTGAAGTTGATGAGAAGTGTTATTGAAAATAGTCTAAAAGCCCTTTTCTGATAAGTGTAGGTAATCTGAAAGAAGGGAACCATTCATAAGGCCCGAATTTCGTTTGATCATACCTAAAACACTTTAAAGGTACGAATATCTACTTTCTTTTGATACGTGGGTAATCAATTGTGTTGATTATCTATTATATGAAATCTTAATCATGACACATACCCACGAGGGGGGAACGATCAAATTGGTATATGAAATTCTTTTATGTGTTAAATGGTATTTTTGGTTTAAATTTTTGTGTATCTGAGAAGTCTAAATCATTACCGGTATGTTTTAAGACTCATGATCGATTTTATATAAATTGGAACCTCAATAGTTTTATTAGACTTATTATCAAATGCTTGGTTCTTGATTTGGTTATTTAAGTCTGAGTTTATTGACTTAACTTTGAATATGCTCAATACCCGGGGCACAGGTGTTGAGACGCCCCCATGATTGCTAAAATGGTCATGACATTATCATAAAAGCTACGACTAAACCAAATAGAGAATGTTGGATGCATCCTATGAACTAAATACCGGATAGAGCCGAATACCAACTACCTCTGGTTACCGGGGAATGTAATGGTGTAGTGCCCGACACTTCAATTCCATTACGAGACATGATTGGACTGATCATCCATCGAGAACAACGTATCCTAATGATACGGATGACCTTCTTACCTTGATTTTTTTCTTTTATTATTATATAACTTTCAATGTTTAGAGATTCACACTAAAAATTGATTTCACTTGTATCGTAATATTTCCTTTCAGTTATTTATTCATACATGATATTCTTCTGCTGTTATTCGTTCACTGGGCAATTTTTGCTCAGTCGAGATTTGTTTTGTTTTACCGCGGCAGGTTCATAATGTAACCTAGGGGCATGATGAATGGTCGAGATGATTTAGGATTCTAAAAGACTAGTGGTTGAATATAGTGTTTTTGCTATGTTATTATGTGAATATGTTAGTGTTATGTAATATAATGGTTGTAATGTTTTTTTTTTTGGAGTTCTATTTGAGCTCCGTACTGTAAATGGTAGACTTTTGATCCGTTTTCGGTTGTGACATGTCTCATCCTAAGTTCAGTATGATGGGGTGTTACAAATTATGGAATCAGAGCTATATAGTATTATGATTAAGTAGTTTGGGTTTCTCTCCTAATGGTTTAACTACATCATTCTTATTTATTTAACTCAATTTTCACTTTACGATAGATTGCAATTATTCTTCATGCTTTTTATATCCAATAATGGATTAAATGAAAAATTATGTGGCAAATGTAGTAATTCAATATGCCACCGAGATTGGAAGGACCAAGACGGGGACGACCCATAAGAGATCAGCCCGAGCCAGAAAATGTATCCGATGCGCCGCCAAACCAATCGATCAACCCTAATATTACGACTACAATCCACCAAATTATGTATGAGATGCTACCAAGTTTTGTAGCACAAACAGTGGAAACACTCCGTTAATCTAACGAGGGTCTGAACCCAAACCCTGTGGACCAACCTCCAGAGACTCAAGGTGAAGGAACCAACATTGGGGGTAATTCTCAAGAGATTCACTTATGGCTTGAACGATTTCACAAACAAAAACCTTGAATATTTATTTATGTAGCTACTCCAATTGACGCCAAAGACTGGATCATACATTTGGAAAAAATATTTCTTGTTTTAGATTGCCCCAATCATATATGTGTTGAATTGACAGTGACAAATTAGAAGGCGACACATATCGTTGGTGGCACACTTGGAAACAAGCTCATTCTGGGATGGTTGATATCGAGTCTCTGACTTGGGAAAAATTCAACAGATTTACCCAAGATTTCTTTTTAATATAAGAAATAAATTTCTAAAAAGAAAATAAAATTTTCAAAATAAAATAAAATTTCCAAAATAAAATAAAATTTTAAAATAAAAATAAAATTTTAAAATAAAAATTAAATTTAACTAATGGTCAAATCGGTCAGAATAAGAGCCACATCGATGTCGTAATTTTCTTTTGCACATAAGTCCCTATTAGTACCACTCTTTACTAAATGAGTAACTGATGGTTAATTTTATAAACTTTTAAATTTAAAGATTTAAAACGTAATTTAAAAAAAATATTGGGTTATTCTTATTAGAAACCCAAAAAATATGGATCATTTAGGAGGTGATTGAGATTGCTTATTTAAAACAATTTATGTTTTTTATAAAAGCACTTATCAAAAGTCAGAATGGTTTAAATTCTTTTAAAACTCATATAAATTAGTATAAACTGTTTATCCAAATATTAAAGTATGTTTATTACCGATTTCATATCGAAAAAAAGGAATAAGTTTTTTTTTTATTACCGTTAGGTGAGGATGAAGAAGGAACCGTTGATCAAATTTGTAAATTTTTTATAATTTATTTTGGTCAAAGACCCCATGATTCCATTCCCACCACATCTCATCTTTTATGATTAGAAATTTATAGAACCCAAAACCCAACAATACCTCTTTCAACCCTCCGTCTTCTTCTACTATCATGGCCTCTTCTAGCACAAATGGTAGCATCTATGACGTATTTCTAAGCTTCAGAGGCGAAGATACTCGTAATGCTTTTACTGATCATCTTTATGAGGCGTTAGTGCGAGCAGGACTTCGTATTTTCAGGGATGATGATGAACTCGACAGAGGTCAAGAACTGAAGCCGAACATCAAGAAGGCAATCAAAGAGTCTAGGGCGTCGATAGTTGTATTGTCCGAGAACTATGCAACCTCCACTTGGTGCCTTGACGAGCTTCTGTTGATACTCGAGCAAAGGAGGGAGTACAATCAATTCGTTCTACCTGTTTTCTATCACGTCGATCCTTCGGATGTTAGGAAACAAAGTAAGACTTTCAAGATAAACGTCAAAACTTATTCAAGGTGGACAGAAGACAACGTCAACAAGTGGAAGGTTGCCCTTACGAACATCGCCGATTTGACGGGTCTAGTTCTTACTGGGTATGCTTCTCTGTTCCTGCTTATAATTTACTCATTATTCAAATACATTTTTAATGATTCGATAATTTGACGATTGTTAGTGCTAACTTGGAGCTAAATCTTGGTATCTAATAACTGGTCTTTTTGGCGGAAAACATGAATAGTAACAATAATTGAAATTATAGTCGTTTTAATTTACATTTGGAACCTAAACTTGTTCATTCTTATCGTCTTGTTGTAGGCCCGAAACAACATTTTTGAAGAAAATTGTTGATACTATTTATAAAGAATTAGATTGCAAAGAAGTTCATATTCCATCAAATCTTATAGGGATGGTTGCTCGACGTGAGGAGATCAATTCTTGGTTAGATAAACACAGGCTCGAATTTTTAGCAATTTGTGGTATGGGTGGAAGTGGCAAGACAACTCTAGCCAAGTATATTTACGATTCAAATTGTAAAAAATTTGAAAATACAAGTTTTCTTGAAGACATTGGTACCAAATGTGAACGACCCAATGGTTTGCTTGAGCTACAAGAACAACTTCTCGAAGATATTTTAGGGGGCAAGAAGACAAAACTACATGGTGTTTCTCAAGGTACTCGTAAGATTGCAAAGGCCTTAGAAACAAAAAGGATACTTATTGTTCTGGATGACATGGTTGAACATAGCCAGTTAGTCGCTCTACTTGGAAATGACAAAATCAATGCACGAAGCAAGATCATAATAACCACCAGGGAAAACACAGAAAATTGGTTTAAGTTCACAACTTGGAGGTGTCAAAATTATAGAATGGTATTGCTGAATGATGGTGAATCATTAGAGCTTTTAAGTCTTCATTCTTTTGGTTCCAAAAGTCCCATGGAAGCTTTTAACGAGCTTGCAATGCAAGCAGTACGGTATTGTGAAGGAAATCCACTGGCTCTTAAAGTGTTGGCTTCCTCTTTATCCATTAAGAATACCGTCTTACATTGGAGAAGTCAATTGAATTTGTTGGAAAGAGATGGTGATGATGGAATTCAAGGTGTACTAATAAGGAGCTACATGTCATTGCCATCTGACTCAGAGAAAGAGTTGTTTTTGCATATTGCTTGTTTCTTCATAGGAGAAGATATGGATTATGTGGAAAAGATATTGGAGCCTGATTACAGTGCAATATGTGGGATCAAAACCCTAATGAACAGATACCTTCTTTCTGTTTCATCAAACAAACAATTGATGATGCATCGGTTGCTTCAAGAGATGGGGAAAAACATAGTCCGTCAGGAATCAAGCAAACGCCCTGAAAAACGTAGTAGAATCTGGCTTAACAGTGATTCTTATAAGATATTGCGCAAAGGAAAGGTGAGGTGCCTCTCATGTGTGTATGTTTAAGCCTTTCCTCCCTTTTTGGTCTTCCTATAGTTTAGTTCTATAGTTTTTATCCTTTTTGTTTTAGGGTTCAAAAACAATTGAAGGTCTGGCCCTTGACATGCAAACGCTGAGGAAAGAGGACATATTCAAGGTAATACAAAATAAGTAAATCCTAAAATCTTCGGTAAATCTTTTTTGAAATTTTGGCATTAAATCTAATTTTTTTAATCAAAATTAGTTATTTGTTTTGCATTTTGTATTTTTTCATAAATGTTTATTTCTACATGCTCTTGCTAACTGTTTTCATGCTAAATCTCAGTCATTTGACCTCAAGACTGATGCACTACAAAATATGGATAAACTAAAATTGCTCCAGCTAAAATTTGTGGAACTCACTGGATCCTATGAGAAATTTTCAGAAGATCTAAGATGGCTATGTTGGTTTGGATTCCATTCAAGAACCATACCGTCTGGCTTATTCATGGGGAACTTGGTGGCTTTAGATATGAGCTATAGCAAGTTGGAAGTATTTGAACCACCCATGGTAGGTAATCCGATATCATCCTTTTATGATTGTCCTTTCTAACTTCTCAATTTAAGGTGGTCTTTATGCGGATGTACAATGCTAAATAAATAAATCTTATTATTTTTGTAACAGGTTCTTGTATCACTCAAGATTCTAAATCTTAAAGACTCGTACAATCTATCCCAAATCCGCAACATCTCCCGGATCCCTAATCTTGAGACTTTTATGCTCTGCCATTGTCAGAGTCTTGTTCATGTTTGTGAAACCATTGGAAACCTTACGAGACTTGCTTTATTGAACATGACAGGATGTGAAAACCTGTGCAAGAGGGATAAAAAAAATGTGCCTTCAATGCTAACTCCTTCTACTTCTAATTCTGGTGAAGTTACAAAATGGTGTCCCTTTTCCTTCCCACGTTCATTACAACGATTATTCCTTAAGGATTGCAATCTTGATTGTAATAATTCTTTGAGTTTCAGTGTTCAACCAGTTTTGCAGTACTTGAATTTAGGCAATAGTCTATTTGAGTCACTACCTTGTTATGATCATCTTAAAGATCTTCGTGTCCTTGACTTGAGTTTATGCTCAAAACTCAAAGAGCTTCTATATCTCCCATGTACACTTGCAGAATTGTATATATATTACTGCAAGTCACTGGAGAAAATAACCTTCCAATCACATCAATTCACATTACAAGAGTTCGGCTATGAAGGTTGCAGTAACTTGTCTGAAGTTGAAGACTTTATGAAACTAGTACCGATAGCCAAACTACATGAAACTGATTTGGGACACATGGTATGGCTAAAGGATTACAAAGATCATGAAATGTGCCTGGTTGGTGATGATGAGCTCACCATAGGCAGAAGTAGACATGCACAGGTTTGTTGTTCCTCTCTCAAATACATGGATAAGCACACAAGCACAGGATCACATATGAATGACTGAACTCCATAAACTGATCACATATAAACCAAACCAAACAAATTCAACATATCCCACCTAGAAGTAGGGTCTGGGATAAATTGATCATATATAAATGCCTGATATCTTTTGCTTGTGTGGAGCAGATGTTGTATGAATTCAATATAATGAGCACATCTCTTCCAGACATAAAGAATCCAAACATGATGCCTGAGCATATATCAGAATCCCAATTTTTGTCCTTCCAAGTGCCTACGTGTCCCAAGGGTAGGAGCCTCAAAGGATTAAATATAACTTTCAAATATACATTATTTGGTAAGGATTGGGCATGGTTCGCTAAAATCAGTACGACCAACGGAGTTGAGTTGATGTACAATCCCAAAGTCTTTGGCAAAAATGAATTTGGGGAAGTTGCTATATGGTTAAGTTATTGGCCAATTGGAAACAAACTGGACGTTGGAGATGGGGTCAATGTGTCTATTGTAGTGATAAATGGACTGGAGATATGCAATTTTGGTGTGAGCCTTGTGTATGCTGATGATGAAGCAGCCAACAAGACTCTGCCAAATAAAATGGGATGGGGAGAAATTCTTGGAGGAGATTTTTCTGGATTTCGACTAAGCACGGGAGCATATTATCTTTGCCGGCGTGATTTCTTTGAGTTACTGGATAGTGACAGACCACCCCCTGGTTGGTTTTGGGATTTAGTTGGTGATATCATTGACTATACAGGTATGTCTCTATTGTCAAGCTAATTTTGGGTGTTTGTAGTTGAATCTATGCTGCAAATAGACACATTTTGTCTTATCTCACGTTATAACAGAGATACAAGGATGGAGAAAGACCGGTCGACGTAAGGATTTGAATCCATTGTCTACAGAGTTGAGAACTGTTAGATGCACCATCCATGATCCAGAATTGGTATATAAGCTCTGTGATATTTCTTTTTCTGCATGCACTTAATTACCAAACCAAAGGAGCCCGATATCTCACCAGGAGGTGGGGTTTGGGGAGGGTATGATGTAAGAAGACTTGACCTCTCCCCTGAAGGGTAGAGTGGCTGTGACACCCCCCTCTCGGGCGGGGATGTGAGAGAGAGAATCGGAAAGGAAGAACTTGAGACAAGAAAGGCAAATAGGATACAATTTGAAAGGCTAGATATGAGTAAGCAAAAACATAACATATAGAAGTAGGTATAAGAAAACATAGCCAATGTAAGGAAACTACACACCCTTATTACATGGATAAGTTGAAGGGACTCTAATTGTAAAATTCTTGTAGCCTGCCTGGTATAAGATGAATAGGACCTTTGTATTTGGTTTGATACTTCATAACAATTCTCAATGGTCTCCACTGTTAAAAACTGAAGGGGCTTACCATATGATTCAAATACAAATTATATGAAATCCCTGATTCTCATTGCATTTCCCATATGATACTTTAGCTTGGATAGAAATGTTCTTATTTTAATATTACATAAACTCATACAAGTGAGAAAATAAACTAAAGCATTATACTCTAGTCCACGGTTTTGGGACTTTGATTTAGTTTTAGTAGGGTAATAATTGACTTATGCTAACCTGGCTTTGGTGTTTGTAAAAAGAAGCAGGAGAAAAAGATGCCAGAGATGTCCGAGTCATCTTTTGTCGATAAACCTGTAGAGTACAGATCAACCACGCTTGGGGAGAAAAGGAAATATGACACTGCATACCCAACAATACCAAAAGTTTCTAGCTCTGTAAGTACATTTCCATCAATCCGCCGATAAAATACCAGTTCTTGGGCGAGATCCCAAACTCATGTTAGTTCACATATTGTCTGAGTTGCTCAATATTCATGTTCTGCACTGGATAACGAAACTATATCCAGTTCTTGCTTTTCCAAGATATTAAATTTCTACCAAAAATGACAAAAGATCATGCAGTGGATCTATGACTAAGGGAACATTCACCATCACAGGCATTTGAACACTGTGGAACATTGCTTTCAAATTCGACCGTCATCTTGAAACTCTAAATGGTCTACACAAGGCATTTAATTGAGCTCGACCATACTTTTCCCTTCAGTTAGTTATTCCATCCAATGCCATTAATGTTTAGGCCATCAGCTTTATAAGATATTATCATTAAAACAAAGCTAATATCCTTCTAAAACTATCGAGGCTCATAACGTAATGTAGGAAAGAAAAACTAAGAAATTAATCATTTTTTCTGCAGAGTGACATCCATAGAAAACTTGTGAGCTTTCACTTAGCAATGTTTATTCTTCACAAAACTACAAGAACCAATGTTAGAACGCAATAGACCAGTTGAATTGATGTGATTTTCATTTGTTACTTTTCGCTCCAATTTGTGTTATGGATCCATTGGGTCAGCATGCTGATGACAGCCCAAATCCAGATCCAGCACAAATTAGAAGAAGTACAAGGATCAAGAGGCAACCCAAGAAGTTTGTGGACCACATCATGACGTAACCAATTCTGTTAGGGATTGTTATTTAAAGTAATTATTGAATGGACATGAGCAGGCATTATTGTTAGTTCTCATTGATCCTTTATCCCATCACCTTTCTGTATTCTGTTTCCCATCTCYTTCTTCTTCAATTATCAATATAGCAACCCATATATTCCCTGCAATTGATTAGTTCATAACAAATTGGTGCTTTCATTGACCCTCTGCTTAGATGGCAGAAGGYACTCGAACTCGGGTGTTRGAAGATTCTGTGAAAACGGTTCAGGAAGCTCAGGTCTCTATGCAGAAACATCTCGATGGTGTTGTTTCTGCCATCGATTCCTTGCAGAAAACAATGAACGAATTGCTCCTCCGTTCTGCCGATGATTCGAAGAACCCTGGATATAACGAGGGCGGATCTGGCGTCCTTGGTCGGCATAAACCAGCTCCGGTTTATCTCGCACGCTTCAACGGTGACAATCCAATCCGTTGGATTGCACAGGCTTCCCGCTATTTTGATTTCTATTCCATTGAGGAGAAGGATAGGTTGACCATCGCATCCTTCTATCTGGATGAAACGGCCGCCGACTAGTTTGATTGGCTTCACCGCCACAAACAACTCACTACGTGGGATGCTTTCACCACCGCTCTCGCCAAACGTTTTCGATCCACAGATTTGGAGGAACCAGAGGGTTTGCTTGCGAAATTGCAACAGACCTCCACGGTGGCCGATTATCGTGCTCGTTTTGAGGCAATCTCCAACCGAACCATGCCCTTGCCGTTGGGATTTCTCATCAGTTGCTGGATTTCGGGGCTCCGATCGGATATTAAGCAATCCGTTATTTGTCATCAGCCCAGTACCTTGGAAGACGCTATGGATAAAGCCCATTTACATGAGCAACGGATCCTTTTCGAACGTGGTGTGGGTCGGGTTTCCTTGGGTTCATCCAAACCCTTATTACCCACTCCAAAAGGGCTACCATCGGATGCACCTTCTGGTCACACGATTTCTGGTAAACCTTCCTCNCCTTGAGGACAAGGTGAATGTTAATGGGGAGGGTATTGTTATGGATCCATTGGGTCAGCATGCTGATGACAGCCCAAATCCAGATCCAGCACAAATTAGAAGAAGTACAAGGATCAAGAGGCAACCCAAGAAGTTTGTGGACCACATCATGACGTAACCAATTCTGTTAGGGATTGTTATTTAAAGTAATTATTGAATGGACATGAGCAGGCATTATTGTTAGTTCTCATTGATCCTTTATCCCATCACCTTTCTGTATTCTGTTTCCCATCTCCTTCTTCTTCAATTATCAATATAGCAACCCATATATTCCCTGCAATTGATTAGTTCATAACAATTTGCTTACGGAATGCTAGGTAGATTTGTTTCTAGAGAAAATGACAGAAAATCAATAAACTATCTCTTTAAAGCTTGTTGCTATTGTTCCTCTTGTGATTTATTCAGATAAAAAGGGAAATTTACAATCCAGAGACTATGGGCATGTCTAAAGCATCTGGGAGTTACATTCCTGAGACTATGGGCAAGTCTAAAGCATTTGCTGCTGATAAGCAGGCTAATGCAAACCGGGGCTGGAAAAAGGTAAATTTAACATTAAGCTTATTAGTATAGAAAGGAGCATAAACATTCTCTATATAGGATATTTGCATACTCTCTTAAACTCATATATGTATGTGGTTCAAATGAGAAGCCTCAAAATTTTAAGAATGAGAGAAGCAATCTCAACCACTAGTTTAAAATTTCTATTTCCAAATATTTTTTCACTAATTAAGATAAGTATTAAAATAATCAAATATTATCTTCCTATTTTTTCTGTAACATTTTTTGCATATCGATAATCATCGATTTTTTATCCAATTTCCCACCTTGATATCATTAGCGATTATACGATCTACAGATCGAGTTAAATCTCATTTGCCTAAATCTGATATGTGAACACAAACATCAAAGTTCTTCACTGAAATGTAACCAAATGCAGAAGATCCAAGAAACCTCATTATTAGACGATAATGTTTAGGTGTATATTGGTTCATATGTGAACATGTGAATCGTAACACATATTCATATGTGAATCTTAATCATAACTTGTACGTGAATTAATTTAAAACTTATATCGAGGTTCTGAATCAGTTTAAGATCCATAGATTCACATGTGAATCCTAACATAGATTCACATGTGAATCCTAACATAGATTCACATGCAAATTGTAATTATAATTTGTACTTGAATCAATCTACAACTTATAATCAAGATTCTGAATTAGTTTAAAATTCCTATCTAAATCTTAAAAAATATGTCATCATGGATCTTAAATTAAAGATAATGAAATTCTTAATTTTTTGGTATAATATATTTAAATAAACAGTGACTATATTTTAGATAATTTAATTTGAAAAAAATGGGTAATTCAACTGTCCCTATATTTACACATTTTTTCGTTAAGATCTTAGCCATTAGAAAGTCCTATCTAAAGGTTGAGATCTCTTCTCTCCCTTAAGGTGGAACAAAGTTTATGCTATGTGCTTCACTAATGAAGGTAATGGTGTTACTTTCTCTTCAAAATTTAAAATGGCTCATAAAAGACATCCCATCAATCTTACAAGTAGACCTTTTTGCTAGTTCTTCTATCCAATAGCTGGTAGTGATATGCCCATTGTTATTGTTGGGGATATATCTCCACAAACTGATGCAGACAAGGTCCCAAACAATGCAAATCAACGTGTGCAAGTGAAACCCACCAACATTACGATATATAATCGGATCCCAATAGTGTTTAAATGTCCCAAGCAAATAACAATGCACAATCATGGGTTACCAACAACGTAAATGCAAGGAAAACAAATAAAGAACATGACGATTTAACAGAAAACACAATCCAATTTACTCAGCCGCCACATACACACATCTTCTTTCTTACCCATGCTTTCTCTCCTCCCTCAAGTCTCTCCTCACTTCTTCTTGGTGGTCTGCCTCTCCTCACCGCCTCAATCACCGGGGGTGCACGTCTTGCTGGCAACGCCTCGCAAACGTTTTTCCAGCGCTACGGCTTGAGGCGCGTTTCGTAAATGTTTATTTAGAACCATGATTACAACCAATTGAGCAAATGCAAGTTAAACCGGCAAACATAAGCATTAAACAGAAGAATTATGAACTTCATCAGTTAACTTAATTGAATAAAATTACAACCTTAACCAATCATATGCAGATATGCTTCAAAATCCAGCATTCATCCAACCCCAACATGCAAATGTTTAGCTCCTGTAGGGGGTGGAAACACACAAGAATAAAGATGAAGAATTACAAGGAAAAGACATGGTTACTCAATCAAATATAATTTAAAGTAAAACTCCCTCGTCAATGGATCCCAATGAACAATGATTTATTTCAGCTTCATAATTCCAATTCTATGTTTCTCGAGTATTTTGCCTCTTCAAAATAGCCTAAAATCGCACCATGGAGTTGTCCTCTTCGTATGGTTGCCGCCTCCCCTTGATAATCCTAGCTGCAGGATTTAAATCACGACACACCAGCCTGAGCCACATGACTTAGGTCATGTACAGGGTCGCGCTTGTCCTTTTGAGGCCGCGACTTGAGTGGCATGGAAGGGTCGCGTGTCTCACTGTGTTTTTGCTCCTTTTAGCAACTCTTTAGGTGCAATATTTAGCTGGATTTAATTTTAAAAGCTCCTCGTCAATTCCCAATTTGCCAACTACTTCGAGACCCTTTAGAATAAGCTCAATTGCTCGGATTCCCTCGAATCCGTTGATAAATTGATTCCTTTACAATACTTCTAATTAACCGTCAAAACAATGCCGAATTTACTCGGAAACGAGGCAAAATATATGGAATGTTACGTGTCAGATACGTCGGAATCTACTTTATCTTATATCGTGGGGTAGTGAACACTTAAACAAGAATCAAGAAAAATCGAGCAATGGTTCTCCTACGAGCCATATAACACTTCAAGGAGCTGCAAGGTAATCCAAATTTCAACAATAGATTCACCTTGATGCAGCAGCTGGCTTAAGGCCAATCATATCTTAAGTGCTTTTGATAACCAGGTCTCACATGTGTGCAATTTATGTGTGTGACTCTAGTAGTCTTAATATCATGTTAAGAAGCCCTTTTTAAGTGAATCATCAGCTGCTCAACATAAAAAATCAGCCTTTAGTGGCAACCTTTGACCATAAACCTCAGCTTCAACAGGCAGCCCCCAGTGTTAGCGGGCAGCCATCAGCGTCCGATTCTTTGACAGCTTTCTGGCATTGTAATCTACTATTTGAGGCCTCCATTGCCCATCTCCTGGTGGCTCAATAGTATGATTCCTTGGTCCCAGTCATGCCTCAAATTGCAATACTATTTTTAGAGGAGACAAGATCAACTTTTCCTAAAAAGGTGTAAAGTAGTCCCTGCTGTAGCAGATCGTCCTTTTTTGTTATTGGCTGCAATTTTTGTACTAGTGGGACAAATCCTTATTTGTCTGCCTTTGTTTTTATTTTCTCTTGGGTTTGTTGTCCATTTCTCCTATTTATATTGGAGATTCCTGAATTGTAGAGGCAGTTGATGAATTATATGAAAATGAATGTAGTTATCTTTATTTGCTGGATTCCCATTTATTTTAGAGATCTTTGATCTTGGTGATATGGAGTGATCCCTTTCAATTGTTGGTGATTTTAGTGAAATGATCATGTCATTTTGTGTAGTTGAATTCATAAGAGAGTAATGGGGTTGGTGGCTAAGCTATAACACGGGCTAGAAGGTGTGGAGTGCACACTCGTGCAAGCTAACTACAACCCGGGATCTTTGGATGGTTTTGTATGGCAGGGGTCTAAGTGGCAGAGGGAAGGGCACGGGCCGTGTGTTTTGGTCGGAAGGTAGTGCATGGGTCGTAATTTTGGTCATATGGTGCATAAGTGGTTGGCCATCAGTGTTCGTGAACATTGATGATAGTACCTTCGGAGTTGATGTTTCATATGATGAGTCTTTTTTGAAAAAAGGTTTTACTCTAATGGGTTTAGCTCTAATGAGTGACTAGCTAATAGAAATCAACTGATGATTTGACACTGATGTGTTACGAGCTGGTGCAATGGTTTGCCACTGGCGGGATCATCAATTGATGAGTCTTCAGCCGATGCTGATGGGTACATAAGTTCATGGTTTGCCACTAACAGCGTCATCAAGTGATGAGTCTTCAGATGATGCTTTTGCTACTGATGCGTTATCAACCGATGGTTTATCACTGACGAGGTCGTCAACTGATGATTTCCTATTGATGGTCTATTAGTGTTTCCATTTGATTGTTGATCTATTCAAGAGAAGAGAATCGGTTCTTCATTCAATCTTCTTCTTTCTCTCACTACATCTGTTATGAACCACTTGCTTGCTTCAAATTTGCTGTCGAGTCCCTAACCTCCGATTCGTCTTTCTCGTTCCCACTAGTCTTCATGTTTCTCCCTTTAGGGCGTTTGGTTCGTAGGATCCGGACGGAATAGGAAGGAATTGGAATGATCAATTCTATTGACCAAATTTCTTTCCGACGTTGGGTTTAAATGGGAATGGAATTGGATCTAGACATTCCACCGTTCATGGATTTGATCATTCCATCACAAGTGAGATGGAATTCAATTTCATTCCATCCCATTTTCTCAAAAGAGACAAAAGTGTCCCCATCTTTCTTACTTGATCTACCTGGACCCAAATGAAGAATCTAAAGTATAATCACTTACCACCGTCATTCGACACCACCGCTAACCACTGTCATCCACTGCCATTCGACGCCATCATCACGTAGCCCACCTACTTCCTCTCCGGTCGTTCTCTCCAACAGAGACCACTGTCCCTCTCCTCTTGACCTAAACCAGAGAGAGAGTACCAAATCCTTTAACAAATTTCATTCCAATTCATGCCAGCCAAACGTGTGGTAAAAATTCGTTCCAGTTCTTTCAAAGTCAAATTTCTTTTAAGAGATTTCATCCAAAAAACATTCTGCGAACCAAACACCCCTTTATGCTTACAACCATATTATGCTTTAAACAAATCCCGACACCCCAACTCCCCAGCTTCCTCATTCATTTTTTATCTATGGAGCATTCAAACCGTTTCAATGGAAACAAAATCGTTTCAGTGATTCTTGGTGGATTCCAAACTCTAAAAGTTTTCAGATCCAATTTAGCGGCACATCATGTTAGGTAAGGTGTGTCACGATAATAAAGCTAGCAGGTGATTTCTAACATCATGTTAGGTAAGGTGTCACAATAACAAAGCTAGCAAGTTTATTTCTAAGGTACCTTCAAAATAGAAATCCAAGTGGACAACAAACCCGACAAGAAATGTGGATAACAATGATCTAGATGTTGCACAATGACTCTATCGAAAATAAACAATCCCAAATATCAATAATAACAATATGTTAGAATCTACATAAATGACAAGTTCATCAAAAATAGCAACACGAGAATTTAACGTGGTTCCACTATCGGTATGATAGTGTATGTCCAACAAGAGAGAGAGAGAGCTCGATATATTACCAACCGGGAGAAATTATGTGTTTATGAGATCCTTGAATCAACGAATTAGCTACCCAATGTATCCCCAAAAACAAAGTTACCCAAGATGGAAACCAATCTAATTGGGAGAAACCGAACTAAACCATATATATATATATATAGGAGCGATCAAATGCAAACCATCCATATTTGTACAAACCGTGCAAACCACCTTCATCCGTCGATTTCATTGTTTAATCTTATGAGATTTTTCATGAAATTGATTAATCTTATGAAATTGTTTCACATAATACTTTTTTTTTGATGAAGTTGTTTCATATATGGTTATGAAATTGTTTCATATAATATGAAATTTTAATGAAACCGTTTCATGTATTTCTCTAAAATTAATATAATGAAGATATAATATCCATGATTAACACCCTCTACAATAAAAATGATTAATCAACTTCTCATAATTACAAAAAATGAACAAAATGAAAAATTATGATCGGTTGAATGAGGTTTGCATGGTTTGTACAAATAACATGGTTTGCAAAGTAAACCTCCTCTATATATATATATATATATAGGGTTAAGCTCACGTGAGACAAGGCTGTTGCCGTGAGACATGATTTTTACACTTTGAAACTTCACAATAAAATGTTGTGAAGGTAAAAAGAAGCCGAATCTTCACAGCAAAAACACTGTGGAGGTTACCTCCCCAGTGTGTTATGTTGTGAATTTTCAAGTGTAAAAATTGTGTCTCACGGAAACAACCTTGTCTCATATGATCCCAAGTCTATAGTTTACAAGAGGAAGGCGACAAGGAGGAAAAACCCAAAAGAACAAGTGCCTTTTTCTTACTTCTCACTGATTTACTAATGCATGAGCATGGCTTTATATAGCCTACAAATCGATGGTTCCTTTCCATATGCAAGTAGTAAGTTGGCAGCAAAGTAGGGGTGGTGGTGGCAGCTTTCTTTATGTAGGTGGTACCATGTATGGTATGTACCATACATACATAACATCACCATGCATAATCCTTTCCATGAAAAAGGAAAAGTGACGACAACTCAAACAATTAATACGTGGCTCATATTAATTGTAATTATTGTGCATCCATCACTTGTACCAAGTGCTTGGTGAGTTGTACATCCTAAAAAACTTACCAAATTAAGTTTTTCAACACATCACCATCCTCTTTTCTCTTCTCTTGAGCCGAAAGGTCCCTCACATAAAAATATGTTTCCTTTTCCAATGATTTTAGCAATGGTTATTACATATCCAGCAAACGTAATTCGACCTTAAGATTGGTGGATAATAGAAAGAAATCTGATCATTCCTCACATATAATTATGGCTCTTTCCACAAATCACAAAAAGGCATAAGAAAAGCATGAACAATTCTATTCTCATTCTAAAACAATTGGTTGAAAAACTGTGAAACATTGCTTTGGAATCTGACTTTCATCTTGAACTTCTAAATGAAAGTTTAATTGACTTTTCCCTTATGTTAGTTATTCCTCCAAGACAAGGATCGTGTGAGAATAGGGGTTAAAGTGAGAATTATAAGAAGGGATTTAGACCCTTGATCACTTTTAATCTCAAACCAACCCATGAATTACGCTTTAGAAGGGAGGAATTGATCCGATGCTTCTCATTAGTGGAACTCTTTAATTAGGAATGATCCAAGGGTGGAGATCCATCTTACCCTTCTCGCCATAACTCTCATTCTCACTGAAACCTAGCCCTTCCATCCAATGCCATTAGTATTGTGGCAATCAACTTTATGAGATATTATCGTTAAAAGTTTAAAACAAAGCTAATGTCCTTATAAAACTATAAATGGATGCTCATAATGTAACATAGGAAAGAAAAACAGAGAAATTAATAATACTTTTTACAGAAAAAATGACATCGAAAATGAATAAACTTTCACATTCAATATTTATTCTTCACAAACTACAAGAACCCATTTTGGAAAACAATAAAGCACGATATGTTTTCTCATTTGTTTCTTCTCCTTGCACACAGATTTGTTTGACAGAAATTCAACGAACTTTCACTTATAAAACTTGTTTTCCCTTAACTTGATTGCTCTTGACGTTTAATGTAGAAAATGTAATCTTTCTATTGGTTATTTTGTGATTTGTACAGGAAAAAAGTGAGAGTTACAATCTAGAAAATATGGACATGCGTAAAGCATCTGGGAGTTTCCAACAAGGGGATGTGGAACTGCCTGAACTAGATATGTGGGCTATGGACATGTATGCTGAAGATTATTACAATCTAGCGTATGTGGGCATGGGAAATGATTTTGATCCTGGTTTGGTTATGAAGCGTACTGCAAAGCAACGGTGGAAGAAATTGAGATCTGTGATCAGATTTATTATGTTACTCCAAGCAAGGTAAATTCAACATCAAGCTTATTATACAACAAGGACGGTAAACGTTCCCCATATAGGAAATTTACTATAACACCCATGTTCCGTTAACTCGTACAGATTAGGTTAAGTGAATTTTTCGTAGAATTGTGCATAACGTGTTTGTACTCTCTGCTTATCCGAATTGTACCGTATTCAAATAAAATGAGTAATTATTAAGGGGTTAAAACCGCCAAACTCCTAAACTCTTAATAATTATCTATACTATATTATAAAGTATTTGGCTAAAACTCTTAAAAACTCTTAAAACTCTTAAAAACTCTTAAAACTCTTAAAAACTCTTAAACTCGTTCATCCCTAAACGATTTCATCCCTATCCGATTTCATCTCATATCTGAATTCGTGTAACTAACTGCAGATAAACACAATCAAATACAGG